TGGAATGTGTTGAGTATGAGACCTTGAGCTCGAGGAACGGCTCGAGCTTCTTTCAGGATGAGTTCAATAACCGGAGTTGATATGTCGTCGGAGCGACAGAAGCTGGCAAGATCCCGACGCCGGAGAATATTTTCTGTTCCCGGCACACTCTTTACCGGTTCGTCTAAATCATTACCTGAAGGGAAACCTAATTGAATGTCAAGACTAATGAGTTGTATCGAGATGCACGAGACCAATTCTTTTCTAAAATACTATTCATGAGTGAGCATGAGATTAAAATTGATCAAGGATTCAGATCTTTTCTTACGTTTTCTCAATATAATCTCTTCTCACATTATTTTTCGCATACACACACATGTACATAGTCTATCATATGCGGTTAGCAACCAACATATATATGTACATATATGTAAAGACACATATAGACATATACATGCACATATGCATATGCATATCTATATATGTGTGTATATATATACACATATAATCCATCATATGCAGTTAGCAACCAATATACATGTACATATATGTATAGGCATATACATACAGACAGACATACACATACATATACCCATATACGAATAACATATGCATATCCATGTACATATAAATTAACCTATACACATGCATACATATAAACATATAGCAAATTATACAAGATCGATCAAATTAAAACTTATACAGATAACAAAAAACTTAAAAAACACAAAATCTATATGGTCGTCGTAATTCGTCGATGATTTAAGCGACTGATTGACGACGGATTTAGGCAATCTGTCGCTAATCACCGACCGCCACGTTGATTTTAACATAAAATTTATAAAAGTAAAATTCAATCCGATTTAATAACGGATCTCTTCGGGAAAAGTACCCATGGTGGTCATTCATTGTTGTTAAGTTGGAAATTACCGACGGATTCTTGCCGTCGGTAATATCCATAGCCGAAAGTGTGTTTTCTAGTAGTGCCGGCCTCCGATTAAACTTCAATACATCATCTTTTTTCTCTTTCGGGCTATCATAAAATTTAAATATGTAGCCTTTACATTTGCGTAACTTCTCTCTGGATTTACATTGCCATCCTTTCATTTACATATGTCGAAATCGAAGGATCAGCGACGAATAACTCTTTTAGCGACGGATTTGTGAGGGAATTTTCCCACACCTCACTAATGCTCTACAATTTTTGTAGTGGTAAGGGGTGATTTTTGTTCCAAATTTATCACAAGTCAGGAGATAACGTACTTGACTTATATTTTCAATCTTGTTTAATTATTTTATTAAAAATTACAAACACTCTTTCTAGAAAGGATTTAATTACTTAATTAATACAGGTTATTTCGAAGTGTTTAATATGAATACGCACCTTTGAAGGGAACTTCACCAGCTTCGATAAGCGTAGGAAGATTCAAGAAACAACTCCACAAACAGCATGGACTGACGGTTTCGAAGCAAATCACCGGAGTCGAAGTCTCTATACCTACGTCCACCGCGAAACTGAAGCAAGCATCAGGGATCATCACCGTCACCGGCCGTTCCGAATWCCTACTCAGGCTACCGGAGATCATCATCTCCCGGAAAACCGGTTTACTCACAGCATCYACAGCAGTCATCACCTCCATAAACCCGTCGCGGGAGACTGGTTTGTCATGCTCCACTCCATCAGGGATGGTYTGGAATTGGAAGTTGGGGTAGCGGCTGAATCGGGATAAGACTYGAGTGTGGCGGAGGAGAGGGCGGTGGATGTGRTGGGTGTTGAGGAAGGTGACGTGGATGCCGGAAAGACATAGGAGTTCGGCTAACTTGAGAGCACAGTTAACCGGGCCTTGGAATGGTATCGGAAAGATTAGCACATGAGGTTGGAGAACCACGTTTTCTTGGTCCATGTTGGATGGAATTGTTAGGGATTTTGTTTTTGATAGTTGTATGGAGTATGATGGATGATGAAAATGTTGTAGGAAAGTATGTATGTGTAAATGGAGGTGAAATCAACAAAATATTGTTTTTAAAAAAGAAAGGAAATAAATGAATGTGGGCTTCTACAAGTCTAGAAAAGCCACAGGAAGAAAGGGTCGGAGTGGTTGCAATGCAACCATTAATTATTACTTGTTGATTTTATTAATCTTATTTTAAATCAAAATCATGTTTGCCTACTTCATCCATATATATATATATATATATATAGACTTGGGATCATGTGAGACCAGCCTGTTTTCGTGAGACCCGTGAGACCAGCATTTTACACGTAAACTTCACAGCAAAAATGCTGTGAAGGTGACTTTTTAAAACCTTCACAATGTTTTTGTTGTGAAGGTTCGACTTTTTTTTACACATTCACAGTGTTTTTGCTGTGAAGTTTACGTGTAAAATGCTGGTCTCACGAAAACAGGCTGGTCTCACGTGAACCCAACCACATATATATATATATATATATATATATATGGGCCTAATCAAATGAGAACTAATTAGTTTGTGGTAACTATAAGAACCAATGTGAGCCAATTATTTAAATAATTAATGTTATATCCTAAAATAACATAAAGGGTAAATTGGTAATGTTTATAATCATAAAACCCTAACCCTCTTGTTCTTCCTTCTTTCATCGACTAACCCTCTTTTTCTATTGCTGCTTCTTCTTCTTCATCAAGCCGGCCGAYGATTTGTAACGCTGCCCTCTCACTCCCGCCAGAGATTGAAGAAGATAAAGAGTTCGACACCATTCTTCGTCGTCGACGGCGCTAATCGAAATTCGGTTGGCGGTGGATTGATTTGTAAAGCCGCCCTCTCACTTCCGCCGCCCTCAACTCCAATCTCCTGCTCAACAAGGTACCATAGATTTACARAGTGGAATTCTCCATGCCGAGGAGAAAGATTATAAACTGCCTACAATTACTTCTTTGAAGCATTTGAAGCATTCAATGCTCTTGATGATCCCAGAGCAGTTTACAGTCTCAAATATATG